ACTCATTTTAAAAGCAAAGACTTTTATCACAAAACGCAGTGAGATAGGACTGAATTGCAACCACGTTCCTTTCAGTGAATCTCTTTTCATAGAGCGTTGGCAAAAGAAATGATTACATAAGGTAAGGGACAGGAGGGGCTAAGGTAATAATATTTATAATCCCCTGCCAATAAAAGCAAGCTAGCTCTTACCCCTCCTAGCCACGAACAAATTATGACCAACCCCGACTCCTCTCTGACATTTGAATGAATTCAACCCTATTACTGTAACGTTTTAAGACGGCTGCGCAGGGAACATTAGTACCTTAAAACTACCTTCGACAAAGCGGTCCATTTCAGGATAGGCCGATTGCGCATAGTCTTATAAACAGTCTTGTCAATAACTGGATGCAGCTCCCGATTATTTGCGTCACCTAGGAGCCCATAATCAGGAGCGAGCAGCTTCTATGTCGTCGTGTCACGGCGTCTTTACTAAGTCAGAGACTTATTTTTAGAGCAACTTTGGCGCGAGTTTGAAATACCTTACAAGTCCCACAAACCAGACCGCAAAACCTATTAAACAAGGTGAATTGATTTCCAGTAAGACATAAGGTGAATGGTATCCACATTCACGGAGTAACTCCAAAGGAAGAGTGGATGAAGCAATTCGAGTTAATCACCCATAACCTACGATCACGAGTTCTTAATTTTCATTTTCGCCTCCCAAAGAGAAAGAGAATAAGGACCGCCTGATCGCAGGTTAATAGCCCATTCTCCACCCCATTCACTCCGCAAAAAAAAAAAGACAACCCAGGAGTGAACAAACAAAATTTAATAAACAGATGTAATATTGGAGCAAGTAGCTGATAATGTTTGTGTTTTGTATAGGAAGTGTGCATTTATTTACTGAGTCTTTTGTTTCTTGTCTTTTACCTTATTATTCGTCGTTTTTGAGACAAGGCAACTACTAGTGCCAGTCCCTCCCGAGTCCTGGGTTTTCAAGATGGCGTCGCTTTGTTATTTTCTAGTTTTATTCCATGGTTCAGCACTTTTTGCCATTTCAGTATGTAACAGTGACAGTATTTCGAGCCTTTTAATATTTCCTTTACTGCTGACCATAGCTGACAGCGAAATAGGGAAGAAAAAGCATGAAGAGGAGTCAAAACAACCACAAAAGGATCGGCCTATTTTCAACAAAAAGGTTGGCAACAATGACAAATGTCAGTTTTCTAATTTCTTTCTGTTCCAACGAGCCAAAATGATTATTAGTGTTTTGGTAACATGGATGATAGTAGACTGCAATTTGGCTGTCAGATTTTTATTGTCCTTTTAGTTGTGCGCTACAGATCAATTCAAAAACGACCGATGTTTGGTTCGCTTGCAGACACTGAGTTAGGGTTAGGAGAAATAAGAAAGTTTTAGTCTTGCCCGTAGGTACCTAACAACGTTTATGGTTTTCGAAGATAGTCTTGTGTTGTGTTGTGTCGCACACAAAAAATGAAGTTCGCTCGTTTAATTTTGAGGAGTTTGTGAGCTTCAGAAAATGGTCAAAATTTGCTTACAAAAATGGCGTCCGAGGGGGGTCAAATAAAGTGATGCTAGTATCTCTAATACAAGAGCAGTGCAGAACCTACGTTTATTATATTTGTCCATTACTTCACCTAACCTATCTAGTATGAGCTTATTCTGTTGACCCCCTTCCATTAACATTTTTAACATTTTTCCCGATTTTCTCAGACAACCGCTCTTAAGAATCATATTTGATGTCAGTAAATAGTGGACGTTGCAACTGAAGGACTGACGTGACCCATTTGCCGACAGAAGCCAAGTAAATGGAGTGAAGAAAAAGCCAAGTACATTCACCACTCCGGATTACATTGCGGCAAAAATAGACTTGGCCTCTTTGAAAGGCTCACCCGCGTTGCCTACTATATATCTGAGTAGATTTTCTGTAACGAAAGAGTAGGTAGGTACTTCAAGTAGCGGTAGGTACTTTGGGGAAATAGGCGTAAAACGCATCACCTTGATTATCAAATCATATAAACGAATAGGGAGCTGTCATCGAGTTGTTGATGCACGCAAGAGTTATAAAATACCAAATATAAGCAAAAGTGTTACTCGAACATAACCGAGAGCAACTGGGCAACAAAATACTAGAAGTCTATTTTACAGACATGCCAATGCAATACATATTGTATTAAAACACTTTTTTGAAAATGACCGTGAAAAGTTGAAGTCGCTGCCTGTTTTAATCTCCTGATTTTCTTTGTTGTTTTAAAACAATCCACCCCTGCGAAAAATATATGTTGTACCGTTTTACCATTTCATCGAGGGCTCATTTCTCGATCAGCAGCTGTTCTTCGAGCCTATTAGCTTTAAATAGACCCCTACAACCAGTTACTGATGACCAAATTTGGAAGAATTTTGCGTTTAACGAGGAAATGACGTCAAAAATGCAGCGTACTTGCAGGTTAATGCACCGTTAACCGAGAAGACCTGGGGGCGAGGTTGAGTTGTTTTGGTTGTGAAAACAAAAATAGCGGACGTTTCACTCGTTTCAAGAGTAAGAACTAGGCGAAATTATAGCTCAAAACATAACAAGAACAGCAAGAACACAACTCGAAGGGCGACATCTGCTATTTGGAGAATATTTGCGGAGCTGAACAACCCTAAACGTGCACTATTGAAGGTGAACTTAATATCGATGGAGGTAAGCATGTCTTAGCTTTGTTTTTAAACTAGGAATTATTTTGAATGAATGATAAAACAATTATTGAATTCGGCTTTCGTATCATATAAAGAATTATGGAGATCTCGGCGGGTGTTAACCGCCTCGGCGGATAACACCCTCCTCGATTTCCATAATTCTTCATAAGATACTCAGCCTCATTCATTAATTGTTAATTAAGAGTCGCCGTTGTGGATGGGTTTAGCTCGAACATCTGTTACTGAGTTTGGAACGAAGGGGTGAATTTATCTCTCGAGAAACTCATAAACGTGAATAAAAGTAATACATTTCCTAATACATGAACTGTCCTAATACATTTCCTAATATATAAACAGTTATGGAGATCTCGGCGGGTGTTAACCGCCTCGGCGGATAACACTCTCCTCGATCTCCATAATTCTTCATAAGATACTCAGCCTCATTCATTAATTGTTAATTAAGAGTCGCCGTTGTGAATGGGTTTAGCTCGAACATCTGTTACTGAGTTTGGAACGAAGGGGTGAATTTATCTCTCGAGAAACTCATAAACGTGAATAAAAGTAATACATTTCCTAATACATGAACTGTCCTAATACATTTCCTAATACATGAATTATCCCGAAATAGGTCATTTTTTTAACCTACATGACAGCTCTCTCGGTCGTCGTGTAAATTCCGCCTCACGCAAAAATTAGAAACTCAAGCGTATTTTATCACAAAACAAAGAATTGAACCCTTTCGTCGCGAAAATTTGTATGAATATTAGTTTCCAGCTGCTGTTATAATTCATGAAAGTAAAATCTCGGTAGGATCGATAGTTTTGCATTTTGAACTTTTGGTGACTTAATGTGAAAACTATGCAACTTTCTGATATTGATCTGGCTTGACTACTCTAACCGCTTATTATTGCAATTAGTTACACCTCATATTTTACTCTTTTGTTTGACACTGAACCCTAACTTAAAATTCGTTTGCTTTCTATTAATGTCTGATAAGAGAGCAAAAATTCGCTGGCTTTTTTCCTGTTTAACATTACTCCTTTGTTAGCGAATTGCTGTCGATCACAGGTTCACAACATAGTACACCATTTTACGTACAGGTATGTCTGCGATAATAACAGCCGTATTTAAAGGGACTGGTTCACGATAATGCGCATGCGCGCCGTTTGTCTCTTCAGAATAAATTTGTTGGGTCAACACTAAATTCGAAATCGCCATTACCGGTACAATCATTGAAAATCCTTCGTTTTATTCGGACATCCGTCGCTTTGGCTGGTCTAGTTATACTTCGGTAGTGGTGATTAACGTGTGGTTGTGTCGTTTGACTGGTTACGTTTTCAGAAAACGCAAAAAATAAGGTTTTTATCATGGAGGTTCAGAAGAGCATCGTGGCCGTCCGGCAACAGGACGTTCTCAAGTGTCTTTGGAGATAGAGAAGCTTATTAGCCTATCGATCTGGTATGGTTCTGGGAGTAGTGTGTGGCTTACGAAAAGTATATACGACACTAACCTTGGAAAGCGGTTAAAGGCATGAGTTCGTTCAACTTTGATTTGATTTTTGACTTCGACCTGTAGTTATACCGCAACAGGCCGCGCGATCTTCACCGATCTGGTACACTTGAAATGTTCCTTGTATCTTTGCTTTACGATCGTATATGTTTAAGAATTGATGTTTTTAAAATAAATTATTGCCTGAGTATTCTGTTTATAATCTAGTTTCTTTATGTGTGCTACTCGATAACATTTGTTTTGCGGAACACTGACCCGATGCAACGCGAATGAATTTGTTCATTTGCTGATAAGCATTTGAAATTTATGCTCAATTAAGGATAATCTGTATACTCATACGTTGTATGTTTTTGTCACCGGTCAGGTGCTATTTGTAGGTATTTCTGGATTTATATAAGGCGAACTGAGAGAACAGTAATAAGATGTTTGTTTACAAATTTTGTTTGCCGATCGGTGACTGCTTTGTTAGTGTGGGTACAACCTCGTAAAAATACACGTTGGTAAATGTTTGTTTCAAAGCAGGACAGGGCTGTTAATCTTATTCTTATCGGCTGCAACATATATCTGAGGAGTAGCAAAGAATAAACTTGAATTATGGGGATAAATAAAATCAAACCAAATGCCCGGAAATACTCTCGCGTCGCGAACAATTAATTTGAATTTTGTAAATTTACTTGCATGCATCTAACTCGCTTCCGATTGGTTGAAAAACAATCAGCTACTGTCAGAACTCACACATGCGCATTATCGTGAACCAGTCCCTTTAAGGCCACTTTTGGTGTGGTCGTAAATAAAGGCAGAAATGTAATGGCAGACAAGCTAAAAGAGGGTGATGTAGCAGACCAGAAAGTTAGTGACGTGATCATCGGTGATATGGAAGACGTCAAGTCAAAGTTAAATGCATTGTCACGAAAGGATCTTGGGGCAGCTGTAGATTCTTTGGAAACAGGACTCAGGTTTTTGAATAACGCAGTCGATGCAGTGCACAATGACAATCCCTCTAGGGAAGGAGCGAAAAAACCAGGAGACAAAGAAGATGATTTTCATGGATTAACTTTGCCATCAGCCAGTTATTCTGCAACCACAGTTATTTTGGATACGGGAACCAAAAATGTCCAGCTGACGGAGTCTGTCAACGAAGTAGCGAAAAGTACGCTCTCTGCTGCAAAAGAGAGATTTAAATTGGCTCGTGAAAAAGCAACAGATGCCTGTAATTCTGAAGCGCTCAGCACGTTCGATCGAATCACAGCCATTCGATATCGTGTAATGGCAGCAATGTTAGAGTCAGCTGCTGAGACCGTAGGAACCGCCGGTGACTTAAAAATCACTTTGAAGAGTGCATTACCTGAGTGAGAACAGTGCCTTCAGAAACTCCACTCCCTTCCAGCTGTTCAGAAAAGTTTTAAAGTCGAGCTTGAGAAGGGTCGACTAAACGTCAGAAGTCGATTTGGCAAAGAGGAACGGAGGGAGATAATTTCCACGGTATGTCAGGTAAATCGCGCCATTTAAGATGCGACACTAACAGTTTATGGTGGAGATGTACATGTCTGGGTCTGGCCATATGTTGACACTGGAGAAGATAAAGTTGATCCTCTGCGCGATGGAAGAATTAGAAACGTCATTCGTAAGGTTAATATGGAGCAATGTTGCGTCACACCATATTCATTTGGTCAGGAGGGTGAAGAGGAGCATAAACTGAAGCGTCCGTATGGTATTGCTACAAACACCAATGGACAGTTTCTTGTAGTAGACAATGGAGATAAAACCGTCAAGGTGTTTGATAGCAAAGGAAAATTTTTATTTCAGATTTATCCCCAAGTTAATGTTTATTTATGACATCGCGATTGGAGACGTGGACGACAAGATTTGTCTTCTAGTGGAACAGAACAAGGATGGGGTTGTGGGGTTGGGAAGTGCAAGTTTTTAACGAGACCCGTGACCTACAGCACAAGTTTCCTGTAAGAAGAGGGGAGGGGACTGGGGCAGAGTATCATTGAGCAGCAGTAAAGTGCTGGTGTTGGTTGATGACTTCGTTGATGTTCATGAGCAAGAAGGAAAGTTTGTTTGCAGCTTTGACAAAGGAGATTTCAAAATTGCAACAGATATCACTGCTACTTGTGATGGTCATGTCATGATAGTGGGGCCAGGCGAATCCTCTGTTGACTTTACTGTGGAAGGACAACAGCTTGCCAACTTTGATATCAACATCGAGGGAAATCTGTATTATTGCATTGCATGCCACCCGAAAGGTGAACAGGTCGTCGTTGCTGGTCGTGAACGAGACACACGCCACCTGACGCTGGCTATATACACTGTAACTGGATTATTTATAAGACGAGTTCACCTGGATGAAGAACTTGATATCATTGGAGGTGGAATAACAGTGACCATGGAGGGTCACATTGCGGTGACTTTTACAGATAGACATTACAATGGAAAAGTTATTGTGGTTTAAAACTGAAATTACATAGACACTCTCATCGATCTGTATATATAATTTTTCAGACGAAAAGCGAATTCAATAATGTTTTGTTATTCATTGAAAATAATTCTTACTTTAAAAATATATGCTTCATTATCTTGATCGCCTTTCCTCTTTCCCGCCAAATTCCAGATATAAAATGATGTTTTTATAACAATCGTTTTATTATCGTGCAAAGCCCACAGAGCTTATCTATATAGGCGCTTTTATTTTATATTTTTAATAAAAATATTAATGAAAATAACAACAATAACAATAACAATAGTAATAATAATTACATTTTTCTTGAATGACATCATCGATATAAGGTTGCTGCTCATTATGATTAAAGAGCCCAAAGCTGTAGTTTTTCTGCACATTTCTACATCAGCGAGGTAGACGTTTCGATAGTTTTTCAGATAACATGATGGAATTAAACTATTAATGGAAAAATCGACGTAGACTTTTGTTGGCTAAGGACGTGCAATTTTGATTGGAATGTTTTATTTAGAGCCCAAAAAGGTACCGGGAATTTCAAGAACGAGCCCGGAAATGTGAGGATAAAAAAAAAAAAGACGAAGAAGAAGAAAAAAAAGAAAAGGACACTACGCCTAAATTTATGAAATGATTTAAAACTGAATTCCGAATAGGAGGGACGTAAAGCTGGCAACTGGTGACAAACAAACCAGCAGGCATATATGCCAACTATTCAACCCGTAAATATCTTATAACTGTGTCAGTTAAAAGCGACAACTGACCGTTGAAAACCAAATTGTGCTCATAAAAGTTGTCCTAAAAGTTTTGATCCGTTAAAGCGATTCCCTCGTTTTGCGCTGTGCATATCTCCCAGCGCATTATGGGGTGCGAGTTGGTTTGCTTCACAGTGATTTAAAGCTATCTATTTTTCTGTAAACAGCTGTGCAGTATATTGGTTACAACCCCTCGATCGTCACTACATATTACCTGCCGAGTTCTTCAGGGATCCATCTTAGGCCCCTCGTTATTCTTGACATATATTAATAGACAACATGCATATAATGCGTCAAAGATTTAGAATTGATATTTTTTTCCCGATGACATAGAGGATATTACATGGCCGCTTGGAGATACGAAATTTCTCTTCGAGTGTTGAAAATACTTCGCGAGTGAGCGCAGCGAACGAGTGAAATATTTTTTCAACACGAGAAGAGAAATTTCGTCTCTCCAAGCGGCTATGTAATGTTCTATTTATTATATAAACACCAATGAACTACCAAACCATTTCACTTTAATAGTTTTTTGGTGTGAAAGGCGCGATCTATTATGTAGCCATAGCAACGGTGATATTTTCACGCGAAAGCTCACCTGGTATTTCATTGGTGTTTATGTAATAAACTAATGTCTTCTATTGGC